CTGTGAAGCAAGTTTGCTAGAGCTCCCTCCCAGATTCTACCAGATGGGTTTCTTCCATGGAAATTTTTGGAGAAATGCTTGATGGAGTTCATCTTCCCAGGACCTGTGTGTGAAATGAGACATGTTCCTTGGAACACTAGGTCACAAAGAGCAAGGCTGGGCAACCGTCTCTTGGCCTTTAGGCCTCGTCATTATGAATGAGGGTTCTCAGTTTACCACAGAGAGAGAGCAAAGAGAGCGTGTTGGGGCAGCGAGATGAGCTGCTTTCCTAACACTCGGCGCCTCTTTCTGCCTCTGTGCTGTAGGGGTGACAGTGCCTGCTCCTGTCCACCTTCTACTGCATTTAAAGCAATCCTGTTCAGGGAAGTGAAGACGTCCTAAAGAACATTCAAGACAGGGCCTCCCTGGTGGTGCAGGGGTTTAGTCTCAGTGCTATCACCGCCACAGCCTGAGTTCAATCCTTCGGCAGGGAGCTGACCCACATGGCACAGCAGACTTCTCCTGTCTCGCCCACTGCTCCCCTCAGCAGTGTATTTCAGTGGATCTGCCTGTTCTGCTCCCCGCTCTGTCTCTGGTGAATCCTTTCATCCCCATTATGTATAAATAAATAAAATCTTAACAAAAAATTATTCAAGATAAACACCACAGGTAGAAAAGTAGAGAGAAAAACATCTGACCGGATAGTACTGAGTAGCCAAAATTTTATGGAAACACTGTATGACTATCCAGGAATTGGAGGATAAGAAGGAGAAATAAATTCTTTGTAGGAGCTAAAATCCTGAGACTCTGTGTAAAGGAAGTATCACTAGACAAACATTTTACTATACAAAAAATGAAGATAATCCTAAGTGAAGCCACAACTACTTCAAATAATGAAGCAAATACTGAGGGTTCTGGGACCAGAAGTGAAAAAGAGCAAGATTTAAAAAATAATACCTATATTCCGAGCTGTTTTGTGATTTTATTTTTTTTTTTTTTTATTTTTTTTTTTTAAAGATATATTTATTTATTTATACAAGCACTGGGTACAGTCAGAAGCGCAGGAGGGTGAGAGAACTCACCAGAGCCAGAGCAGGGAAAAGAACAGGCAGACTGACGAAATACACTGCTGAAGGGAGCAGCGGGCGTGGCAGGAGAGGTCTGCGCACCATGTGGGACCCTCCTGCAGCAGCCGGGGATCAAACCGGTGCTGCAGAGGCTGCAGGCAGCTTCACAACTCAGCGCTCAACCGCTGCGCCACCAGGGAGGCCCTGTTTTGTGATTTTAGAGCTAATTTAAAAGCAGTTACTGAAATGTACAGTTTTTTGTTATATGTTATGTTTCAACGAAAAAAGGTATAAAAAAGCAAAGTCCTTCATAAGCTAAAAGAAACTTTTTAAATGTTGCTTTTCTTTTAGCAAAACAAAAGAAGTTAAGATGGAAATGTTCTTTGACAATGAACGTGGGGTGGTCTTCACAGACACTGGAGTTTTGGAATAAAGCTTGTCAGAGGCCAGAACTTAACATCCAAAGTAATTGTGGAAAAGTAAAAGGAAACCCAAGTAACAGTGATTGAGACAAACGGGGGCTTATTTTCCTCAAAAGCCAAAAGTCCAGGAATGGGCATTTGCCATCAAGGACCCACCCTTTTCCCATCCTTCATCCTTAGCAAGTTGATGTTCAACCTCATGACTCATGTTCACAAAATGGCTGCCATAATCCCAGCCATTTCTTCTGTAGTTCAGGCAAGAAAAAGAGAGCAAAGGGCTCATGCCAAGTGTATCTTTCCTTTTATCTGGAAAGCAAAAAACCTTTTTGGCCTGAACTTGAGAACCTGGACACTCCAGCTGCCTCTACGTGGAAATAGGCAGGGGAGAAAAGTTGAAAATGACGGGCTAACCGGAAAGCAGTGAGTGCCAGAGAAGTGGTTTGGAAGAGAATAATCTTGTGGCTTATTGTTAAACTGGGAAGAAGAAAGAATATAGAGCCTTTGAGAGTGTGGCTTAGAATGGCAAACATTGCCACTAATAAAATCATTATATCACAGTCCTTAGGGTGAATTAAGACCGATTCAGAGGCAAAATAGCCTTGTTTTTCATCCTGAATTGGCTGTAAGCCTTAACTATTTCTAGACCTTATCCATTCTTGTCACAAAGTGAGAATATATTCCCTGCCTCACTTGGATCCTTTCCTATTTATCCAATAACGCACGCTACATACCTGCAGTGTGGCAGGCACTGTGCTAACGCTGAGGATACACAAACATGGCAGCGACCCCTTCCCGATGCCTCGAATTCCAGAAGGGAAAGGCAGCCTGAAACCGTGCTTATGGGGCACTGTCGCTTGTTGGATATGTTAAAATGATAGCTATGAAATAGAGAAGATATGTAAGCAAATGATGCTAAGTGAAGTGCAACAGAAGGGCTTTGAAAAGGGCTTTGGGAGAAGGGGGAGATGACTCCTTCTGGCGTGGGACCTGCCAAGGAGATGAAATCCGAGCGAGGACTTGACGATGAAGTGGAAGATGCCGGAGACTGAAGATGAGTGAGGCCTCGGTGTGCAGAGTGGTGCAGTTATAGTCGTGGCTTCTGGAGGAGCAGAGCTGATTCAAATGCAATGAGAGCTTCAGAGGGGCTTGAGGGTTCCTGAAAGATTGAGAGGCTCATTCTGTGAGCTTTGGGGGGGTAGGAGGTGAAATGGGGCTGAAGGCTGGTGGGGTGTTCAGAGTCAGATGTGAAAACCTCAGAAGTCATGTGAAGGAGGTTGGCCTTCACTGGAATCTAGAACCAGACATGGATCTGTGGCTTAGAAAGATCATTCTGGAACCAGTAAGAAGAGGCTTTTGGAATGGAAAGAGGCTGGTAGCACACAGACTGTTCAGGAGCCCCTACCCCTCCCCATTCCAAAATTATTTAAAATTCAAAGAACAGAAAAACTCCACATCCATCCAATCGTCAATTTTAGCTTCCATATTGTCCACACACACTAACGGAGACGTATGTTTTGGTCAAAACTGTAGGATGCGACCACAGCATATGGTTCCGCCATGACAGAGGGGTGGCGTCGGGCTGTGTCTTTGGATCCAGCTTTAAACAGACCCCAGGCCCCTCGCTGCTGACCCCAGGAAGGTTCCTTACTGCAGGGCCACTGCCGGCATTGCTGGTATGCACAGATGAGTGTGGCCTGCTATCCATTTTTATAAATATTTCTTATTGATAGGAGCACAATTTGAAGTCTTTTTGATAGGTTTCCATCACCTCAGACTGCAGATCAAATATGCTCCTCCACCCTGGAAGTCTCCCAGGGAACCTGCGGTCACAGTTGGCCACTGTCAGTGATAACGTGGCCAGTGCTGCTTCTGGAAAAGGCAGACCGGAGACATTTTAAAGCTTGCCCTTGCAGGTGCCCTTCATGTTTGGATCTCTCTCTCAAACTGCTCGGACAGCCCAGGGCGGCTGATTGGATGTGGGTAGGGAACAAGAGAGGCAAGAAGAGTCTGAGGATCTCACAGGGCCTTGTGGGGCTCTGCTCTCAGGCCACAGGGAGAACGTGGACCCTGCTGAGTGCCTGTCCAGCTTCATCTCAGTTCCAGGAGAGCAGGAGCAGGTCTTCTGGGTCAGCCCTTGCTCTGTCGAGTGACACCCCTCTTCCCTCTGCTGCTCCATGCCCCAGCGTGATTTTGAGGCCTGGTTCTGGGATAAGTGGGCGGCCTTGGTCCTGCATGTGAATGGACGAGGTCGTGATGGTGAATGCAGACAGCGGTGGGGGAGCCGCCAGCCCCAGCCAGGCCAGAGCCGTGCGTGGGGGCTGCGCTGACCCCCTGCCCTGCCATGGCGGCCGCGGGGCAGCTCGCCTCGCCTGCATGGCTGCGGCACAGTCTGTGGAGCTTTTGTGGTCTTCGAAGGCGGGTGTGGGGATTGGACCTTCTGATGCTTCAGCTTCTCAAGTGCATGAGTGATCCTTGAAAGAACTGTTAAGAGTCTTCTTTATTTTTCATTCCATCTACTGTTTGCTGGGCGACCCACTGAATCTATTCTCCTCGTGAATGAATGAGAGACCCCGGGCCATCTTAGCCTCTGTTCCTAACGATCACCGTCCTTCTTTGAAATACAGTTGGATTTCACACTTAAAAAAACTAAAAGGCCCCTTGGCCGCTCAGGCTGCAGCGCAGCCATCACACTGCCAGGGCGGTCCTTCCTTTCCCACCTCCCCTCCCCCACCGCCCTTCCCTGCGGTGGGGAAGTCACCCACTCCCGCCTTAATAAGCCCAGCTCTTCTCCCTGAGGGCCAAGGAGCGATGTTTTAGCAAACACAGATAAATCAATAAATGTGCCTTATCAGTGTTGGGATTGCTGGCAGGTGCCCTGCAGCAAACATTGCAATTTCACCATCTCTCTCTCACACACTCTCTCTCTCTCTCTCTCTCTCTCTCTCTCTCTCTCTCTCTCTCTCTCTCTCTCTCACACACACACACACACACACACACACACACACACACACACGCACACACGCACCATCCAAGCCTGCATTCCTATTTCTTCTTTGCTTAGATTCCCCCATCTAGCAGATCTGCATTCAAATGGAAATTGATCCAGGTGACTCCCCCAGACCCAGGTGGCAGCTGTATCTGGGAAGCAGTTTTAAATAAACCCTGTGCACTAAAGTCCTTTGTTCTAATGTTGCCTCTGACCAATGGTCTAAGCATTTTCATCCACATGGATCTTAGGAAAAGTCTCTTCACCATTTAATTATCACCATGTGGTGTCTGCTTCTAGAAAGCAGTACTGTTTTTGAAGAAGATTGACAATTTATCGAGGGAAAGGACAAGTAATAACTCAGTATATTATTTGTCTTGTTCTTTAAACTGAGGCCGGCCGGCCTTTTAGTTGCTCAGACAAGTGGCCTTGGGGAGGCCTCTCTTCCCACTTTCTGGCACCCTCTCTGTCACCTCCCCTGTATTACTATAGAAGGAATGTTTGTAGAATCCATTGCAGTCTGGGGGAGGACGGAGAGATGAGAAAATTAAAGGTAATCTTATACCTTTATGAGAAAATAAAGTATTTTAAGAGGACAAGAGAATATATGGCTATCCACGGGTTTCTTTCATGGCTGTGAGTTATGTACAGATAACTTGCTGTGCTCACCGTTTTCCCAAATACGATGAGACCTCTGGGGAAAGTCTGGCTGGCACTCTACCATTAGGGAGTTTTATGTCTCGCGGTGTCTTAGTCTGCTCAGGGCGCTCTAGCAAAATGCCACAGAACAACAGAAACTTAGTTCTCTCAGTTCAGGAGACTGAAAGCCCAAGGGCAGTTTCAGATCAGGTGGCAGACCTCGTTCCCATAGGGCAGAAGGGCCAGGGAGCTTTGAGGGGTCTCTTATAAGGGCACAGATTCCCCCCCCCAGCAGGTCTCCACTCTGGTGTCCTCCCAGACACCCACCTCCTAACCCTGAGAATTACAGTCTCAACAATGAAGGGGGGGGTCACATTCCATCCCGTCTGTTCTAAGTTCCACACTCAGGATTTTGTAGTACCCAACCACAGGCCAAACTTTTCTCCACAAAAGCCAGTGACAATGTCTTTCCTTCAGGGGGCTGGAACCATCCTTCCACATCAGAGTCTGAGATTCTGTATTCTTGATCTACTGTCTTGGGGCCAGAGTTGACATTTTCACGTGCAGTGCAACCACTCACTCTTCTGACTCCCGACGCCATCCCGGGCACAATGCTAAACCATGCTACCAGCCAGCTAACGGTAGCAGCTGACGAAAGAGAAAACACTGACTTGACTAAGTTTGGAGTCTCTCTCCTCCACAACTTTCACCAGAATCCAGTAGTTCCTGGGGCTCTGCAGGTGTCAGCCGCCTTCCTCAGAAGAAAGCTCCTGAATGTTGACTAAGTGAAATTTCTCCCTTTGTTGCCCTGCGTGTGCCTCACACTGTTTTGTTCTTTTGGCCCAGAAACAGAAAAGATAGTGCTAGAGGCAGGAAATGGGTTGCCCTCCTGGAAATTCAATGACCAGCTCTTCCCCTGTGACGTGTGTGGGAAAGTGTTTGGCCGCCAGCAGACCTTGTCGCGGCACCTGTCGCTGCACACAGGTGAGTTAACCTCACCCTCGGCTTCTGCCCCCCTCTACCCCGCTTCTCTGTCGCCGAGAAACTGGTTCCTCTAAGAACCTCTACAGCGAGTGGTGGAGATGCTTGTATCCTGGCTTTTCAAGCCATTTTCCGGGCTTATTCAAATAAGGCCCTGAAGGGTTTTGATTTGTATTGGAAAGACTCAAAGTTCAAGTGAGATTAATGAAAAGAGATAATAATACACATTGATGCACATCCAGGTAAACCCCCAGATTCTGGGAATCCACTGCCCTGATCTTGAGGATCCAGGGGGTGGGGTTGTTACCCCTCTTATGTGGTAGATGGGAGCAGGAGGGGAACAGAAAACCAAGTGTCCCTTCCTGTTCTGCCAGCGTTCATTACCTTTACGGTCCAACGACAGCACCACCTACTCCTTTTTCTGTAATTTTCTCGATTAAGCAAATGAATCCAGAAGCCGCTGTGGAAACTGTGTTGAAACACTGTCAGCTTTATGAGCGGTTTCCACTAAGAAATTAATTGAAATTTTTAATTTTATGTATGCAAAATGAGCGTTTCCTCTTAGATTATATCATGCCATCCATTTTTTTTGTCTTTAATTTCATTAGTTTTTCATTTCTTGGCTGACCCGGGCCTGGAGCTCAGGGACAGTGACCGGCTTCTCTTACAGCCCCATCTCGCCCCTCAGCCCCCGCCTCACCTGGCCTCCATGGTGTGTGCAGCCATAAGCGTGTGCCCGTGTGCACACCCAGCGTTCATTTAGCCTCTTAGGAGCCCCCTGACCAGGAAGGAGGGGGGGGCCTGTGGATGTCCCTGAAAACGCAGGTGGTCCCTTTGCTCTGGGTCTTTCTTTTACTTTTGAAATTAATACAGAGGGACTTGCTGGTGGGCAAAGACTATTTCCCCCCATCCCCGTCCCCCTGAACCTCAGAAAATTGACTTTGTTTATGAACGTCTGCTAGTTTGTAGTTGTCCGTTTTGTCTCATCATCCACTGTGATTCCTTGTTTCATTCAAAGATGAAAATATTTGTCTGTATTTTTCTGACTAGCTTTACTCTCCATAACTCCCTCCAGCTCCTTCCATGTTGCTGTAAACGGGACATTTTGTCTCCCTTATGGCTGAATAGAGTCCATGGTGTGGCCAGCGCCCCTCAGTGGCACTTAGCTTGCTCCAAAGTCCTCGCGACCGAAGCCCCCGTGCAGCAAACCCTGGGGTGCTCCCAAGCACACTTTAGAGATGTCCAGCTCGGGGGGTTCCTCTGACCCCATTTGAAATGAGACTTGAGCCCCTTCCTTGATACCGCAGCGCGGGCTCTTGCAAAGTGTTGGGATGGCCTCGTGGGAGAGTGGTTTCAGGTTTTTCCTATTTCTTGTCACCCCAGAGGAAAGAAAATACAAATGCCACTTGTGCCCCTATGCTGCTAAGTGCCGTGCTAACCTGAACCAGCACCTGACCGTCCACTCGGTGAAGCTGGTGAGTACGGACACCGAGGACATCGTCAGCGCCGTCACCTCCGAAGGCAGTGACGGGAAGAAGCACCCGTATTACTACAGGTGAGCAGCCGACGCCCCTGCCGGCCGCTTCCCGGACGTGCTCGCGCCTCCCTGCCCGTCTGCCAGGGCGGCCGGGCGGGGCCCACCTTCCCGGGGACATAACAGCCTGGGGTGAGCCCCTCTCTTGGCTTAGGGTGGCCTCGTAGACTCAGTGGAGAGGGAAGTGGGCTTGGAAGTGGCTTTCTGGGGTGGAACTTGAGAGAGTGGCGGGGCTCTGAGGAGTGATCGCGTTCAGTCTCCACAGCTGGGACACTCCCAGCTCTGAAGCGCCCACCTCCCTGCCTCCTGAGAATTGCAGGAGCAAAAAAGATGAGGGAAAACAGGCCTGAGAAAGCACTGCCTATTTTTCCTGGTCTGCCTTGTCCTCTCCTAGCTGGAACTTTTTTCCCTATTCACCCACGATCCATATCCTGTTTGGTTGCGCTCAAATTCCAAGCTGCCAGCTCTCTACCTAATCTTGCCCAGGAGCCAGGCCATCCGGATGGGTGGCCTCTGTCAAGAAGGTCACGGACTGGGCTTATTGCTCCAGGTGCCAGCGGGCACCCGGTCTGTGCTTTCCATCCACCCGGGAGCTTCGCAGAGCCTGCGAGAGGCCGGCCCGCCGCGCGGGGCACTCAGGTTGACCACCCGCGCCGCACCTGCTGGCCCAGAGGAGTCCGCTAGGTGATGGGCGGCATCTGGAACCTGTAATTTTTAATTAACTTTATGATTACTTAGCATCGCGATAGCATGTATGGGATTGTTACAGTGTGCTGGCACTTAATCCGTTTGGCACGGTGACCACTTCCAAAGCACCCCAGAAAGCAGGAGAGTGTTCTAGCCCCAGCCCTTTGGGTGGGGAGAAAAGGTGTGTAAAAGCCCCGTCGCTTGTTTTTCCCCCTTGGCGTGGCCACGCAGCAGCGGCCAGCCTCCACTCAGCGCTCTGCCCCCTCGCCCCTCCTCCTCTAGCTGCCACGTGTGCGGATTTGAGACCGAGCTCAATGTCCAGTTTGTCAGCCACATGTCGCTCCATGTGGACAAGGAGCAGTGGATGTTCTCCATCTGTTGCACCGCCTGCGACTTCGTCACCATGGAGGAAGCGGAGATCAAGGCTCACATCGGCACCAAACACACAGGTGACCATCCCTCGGCCCCCTCACCCTTCTGCGCTCCGGCCCCGGGCACCCAGGTGCCACCCACCTGGCAGGAGCACCCTCATCGCCATGTGGCACCAGCAGGAAGCAGGGCCACGTGTCCCTGCAGCCCCCATACCCTGGGCCAGCTCAGCCGCTGACCCGAAACACCCCGAGTTCACACATGGCGGAGAGCTGTGGAGCTGCTTGCCGGGGCCTGGGCCTGGTCGCTGTAGGGATGTGCGTGCTGGCCGGCCTTCAGCCTCCCTACAGCCCCGCAGTGTGAGGATCCTCTACAGCGAGACGCAGGCATAAGGGGGATGTGTCAGCTCTGGGCAAGGTCAACGCTAGGATGTGACGCCAGAATGGCACCCAGAGCCGCTTCTCCCGGTGCTCCCCCACCCTGCTCGCTGCTGTCTGGCAGGTTGTGCAGGAGCAGGAAGCTGATTCCCCTAAAATAGCCGAGCGTCCTCCAGGCTGTGGCCCAGACTCGACGGCACGAGTGTCCTCGTGGCGCAGGGACCAGTGACACACAAGGACTAACTCAGCAAGGACAGGCCACCGCCCCCCCACCCCACCCCACCGTGTGTTCATGGAGCTTATCAACTCCGAGCCCGGCACTGGGTAGGCCCTGCACATCCTGGGCCTTGGAGGCTCCGCGAAGGGAGCTGTCCTGAGAGTTGTGCTGACATGGGCACGGCAGAGGGGTATCTCCAGGCTGTGCTGTGTCGGCTCCTTGGTGCCAGCGGCCACAAAGGCTTGTTTTTGTCAGTAAATCGAGCGGCTATAGCTTGGAGGCCTGCAGAGAGCCGTTATGGAAGTGAGGCGGTGCTGTGTGTGGAGGTGGTCATCTGGCCCTAACCACGTTAGCACCGCGGGCAGCAGGTGAGCCGGGAAGAGCCACGCAGAGACACACTAAGTCGGCATTTCTGCGGAGCTGGTGGAAGGAAGGGCCAGTCCCGTCTTCCATCCCAAGGTTTCTCATATTTTTCTTTTTCTTTTCTTTCACTTCTCTTCTTCTAACCCCAGTCACCCCAAAGTATGCCTAAACTCAGCCCAGAACCTTCCTCCACCCTCCCACCCCACAACCTCTCCCCTCCACAAACCCTGGTTTCCAGCTCAGGGAAACCATAGAAACCAGAATGGCAAGAATCCTTAGAGTCTAATGACTTAGCATCACCTCCCTGTCATGGATGGGAACTTCGCCTCTACAAGTACAACGCGCCGCCTAATTGGCACCGGGAGCACACAAAGTGCTGGTGCCCTCTGTGGCGGGGGCCCCTCACTAGCTAGGCAGAATATTCTCATTTGCAAGGAGAGCCAAGGGTGAAATGCATTAAATACCGTGGATGCCTGGAACACGGCTGCTGTTAGGGAATGAGGTAATAACCTATTTTATAAGCCAGAGACACTTGCACTTTTTCTTTCTTTTTTAAGGGCCAGATAGTTAAGTATTTTAGGCAGTCGGGCCATACATTTCTGCCACTGCTACTCAACACTGCCTTTGGAATTCAAAAGTGGTCACAGACAACAGGCAAAGGAATGGGCATGGTGGCGGGCACTGTGCCAATAAAACTTTATTTACACAACAGGAGGCTACATTTGGCCCCAGGGTTATAGTTTGCTCACCCCTTTCATAAACTAATGGTCTCAGTGTTCTGTATTTAGTTATTTTGAGGTCTTTGATTTTAACCCAAAATATGTTGATCTGCATCTGTACATTAGTAAGGTGTCTTTTACAGAGTCATGATACAGAGCAATGTGTGTGGCAGGCCGAACACATACATGTGACACCATACACAATGCAGAACGTGTAATCTGTGCTCAGTGATGTGCTTGCTGAGACTGGGGAGCGCGTGTGAGTCACTGCTGTACCTCTGGCGCCTGCCCGGTGCCTGCACAGCATACGAGGTCTGTGCACGCTTGCCCGCCTACACACGCTTGGGTGTGCTAAGGAAGGAGATCACTCAGGCATGGCGCTGGCTTGACCTCCAGTCTGTGGCCGCCTTTATACAGTCGATGTGCAGAAAGAAGTAACTTGGAAGGCAGAGAGCACGTGTTACGTTCTATATCCTGGGCCTCCGTCTTAGACAGGGAGCATAGCAGCTCTTCTGGCCTCTCTGGGCCTCCATCCAGCCCTTGAGTCATTCCATGCACAGGAGGTGCATTTAGATTGACCTGGCCTAGAAACCGGCATCTTCTGCTTCAGTATCCTGGGGACCTGCATTGCTTTCCTGTTACCTCCGTGACACTGTCATCATCAGGATGTACTTGAATCAACAACAAATTTTTAATAGTTTCCGCAGAATCCATGGGCTTTCTCTGCCTCCTGACTAGCTGCCTCATCGAAGGCACCCTTGTAAAAAGGGGTGTGGGCCAGGGGGATCCTGAGGAACTATCCTGAGCTTAGGCGTTTTCCACAGAGAACCTCCTCACCGTCTCTCCATTCCTGGGCTCCTTGTCCCTACAGAGAACGCAAGTTCTCCGGTGCTTGTGACTTCCTCTGTGCAAATTTTACTGCAATTTTTAAATGTTGCAGGAAGTGACATGAGGAATATGAATAGCTCATTGGGAAATATTGTCCTCAATAACTCCCCTCACACTGATGCCAAAATAAGTGCCAGATGACTCAGAATCTTTTAACAAATTGGCCCTAGGAAAGCTTGAAAAAATAGAATATTTATCAAAGTTGCAGAGTGAGAAGGTATAAGTGATACAAGTCACAAAGGAAAGAATTGAGAAATTTGACACATAAAAATTTGTTTGCAAAAGAAAATATGAGAGAAGGAAACAAAGAAAAAAAATCACTGCCTGAAAAATGTATTTATTAAATGACCAAAACACTGATGTATTTACTACAAAGAAAATTCAAATAAACTGATTAGAAGCCCATCAGGTAACTAACTGAAGAATTCACTAAGAACATGAATAGTCAGTTCATAATAAAAGAAATGAAAACTAATCACTTAACGGGAGAAAAAATGTTTAACCTCAGTAACAATCAAATTAAATTCAAGAGCGGTTAATGTTGTACCTATTAAGTTAGAAGACCTATTACAGTGATTTGTAGTGTTTTATAGTGTAGCCTTCTGTTGTCAGGTGCTGATGATATTTAGGGCTTTGGCCTGGCAACATGGTAAAACTTTTGGAACCTAATTAGGTAGTACATACCAAAGTACTTGAAAATGTGATCCAGTAATCTCTATTTTGAGCATTTATCCACAGAAATGGGGGGGGGAAATCAACCAATGGAGTATCAATTTTAAGTTAAAAAATATTAACTTTAATTTTAAAGAAATACTTAGAGAAAGATAATGGATTTAATACTATCATTTAAAACTATTATTTCATAATTATTTTCATAATTTTTTGAGAGCCAACCATGTGCCAGCTATATAAATCAACATGGGGAAAAGGGTTATATTTTACAAATATTACATGGTGATTTTGTAATAGAACAGCAATAATATATTCTTCTATAATGCTTTCCATGAGCCAGGCATTTTTCCTAGTGCTTTCCATATAAAAATTTATGAGATAATTTAAATACCTCTTTGAAGGTCATACAGCTCTTAAGTGGCACAGGTAAGATTCAGATGCAAGGATTCTGGGTGGAAAGCCCTCGCTCAAAGCCACTAGATTACTCAGAGGCAGGGATTTTTAAAAAGAGATGCTTTCTTTTTCAAAACAGGAAAATAAGTATACACCAAAACTGTAATGGTGTTGGTTTTGAGGCAGCAAGATGGTGATTATTTATGGTTTCGATTTCTCAAGTTGGAGTGTTTTATGAAAGATTTAAGCTCCTTTGAGTTCTCCTTGCTGGGCGGTCCAGGATCCTAGTAATGGGTGAGGCTGCACTACCTGTGCAAGGGTGTAGTTCAGGAATCTTGTAGTGCAGATGGTAAATGACTACGTGGACCAGAATGAGCCTTGGATGAAACCAGGAGGGCACCCTGGCTCCTCTCTACTGATAGAGCAAAAACAAACAAACAAACAAAAAAAACCAATGAGGACTGAGATGAGAAGCTAAGAAAGATAAGCTTAAAGGCAGATTTCCCTCTCTGTGGCCTCCAGGAGCTTGTGTATTTATAAAGGTATTGATTCAGGCAATGGTGGCCAGTGCCCTAAGGTCCAAGGTACTTGAGGCTATTCTTAAAGATGGTAATTAAAATGAATATGTCCTCATTGTAAAAGCTAATTTAAAAAGTAATCGCTTGCAATAATCTGTTGGTAAGAACAGCCTGAAAGGATGGATTTGGTGAAGCAATATCAGGGTGTTAGCACCTCATTGAAAATATTCTATTTGACTACAAAATTAACTAAATTGGTTAATTTTTTTATATGTATCCAAACAGGCAGGATTATTAACAAAGGGGAGAAGGGTAAAGAATGCTTGCACATACACAAGTGGGCAGAAAGAGCTGCTTCCAGTGGGACAGTTTGTTGATAGGTATGTTTAAAGGGAGGCTCCATACTTGAGAGAAGAGCTGCTGCTGCTTTGCAAAGGAGAAGGCTGGCGATGAGGAGGAGCACCTGCCTAGGCACAGGTGGGCAGGAGGGTTGCTGCTAAATTGGTTAAAATTCAGTAAGAGACTAGTAATAATGATGTTAGCTTTCACGTGGCTTCCTGTACAGGGGCGCTGTTTCAAGGCGTAAAGCCAACCTTCCTCATGGGTCAGTGAGTGCCTGTCTGTACAGAAACTGGGTTAGTT